TTGGACATTTAAACAAAAATCTGTTTAATTTTACGTGGTGAAACAATATAGGTCTTTATATTACTACTCAAATACATTTGTTTATTATTGTTTTTGTTTTCCAAATACCTGGAGATAATAATTTTGAAAGTTTTACATGGTATATAAAAAAAGTTTTTTTCTTTTTCTGTTGGGCCAAATTAAAAGTCCTAATGGTCTAACTTTGGGCAGCCCTGAACTGCTTAAGAAAATAAACAGAAGTGTAGATGTTGAAGAGAGTGAACCAAGTGCTTTTTTTGCATTAAGTTTTGGTGGTAATGTGATCTCTAAAGTACCCAAGTTAGCTGTTAAGTACATTTACTTCCTATTAGTTCAAAGTTGTTTTATCTTGGTTCCTAGCTTGTTGTCTCTGGTTACAATTGTACATTTGAAAATAGATCAATGTTGTGTTAATCATAGCAAGTTTTCTGCAAATGAGCAAAAGGCTGTGACTGACTGTGATTGTAACATTCACCAGTGGAGATAAATTAAAAGTTATTCTACCATGAACTTCAATGATGTAAGAAAATGAGTTTAAACATTTTAAGGTAAGGTAAATGGTTTAAGAATTGATTTTTTCTTTTGCTGTTTTGCTACTGTAAAAACATTTCTGCAATAATCCACAAAGAAAAAAAGCATCACAAAAGTACAGCAAGTAAAACCTTAGTGAATGTTCTTTTAGTAATATCACACAAAAACCATAAGATTACAGCAGGCTGTTTCTTGAGGACATACTTGTTATATTCTCATTATATTTTACATTAGGGAGTGCTGTGGTAATCCTGGTAATCCTCAATTGTAATTTTGTATTGTATGTTTGGCAGTACCACAGGAATACCACATTCATACCACAGGACTTTTTGTAATGGACCACTCTTTGGACTCAACTGAACTGTCTTAAGACACAACATCTCTATGTCTTAAGACAAAGTGATGTCTTAAGTCATGCCTCATCTTCAAGACACACAAAATAATTACTTCTTTTTCTTAAGACGTTAACTTTCATGTCTCAAGACAAAGACCGTGTCTTCACTCATACGTCTTAAGACGTTCTTGAGATATCTTGGCATAAGAAAATGTCTCAAGACATCTTATAAACACTGTCAAGGCATCTTAAGACACAGTAACAGCTGAACTAGATTAAGTTCAGGCTTTTATCACATTCTGAATATTCATCCAGCCAGTAAAGGACTATTGCTTTTGTCTAAATGGTTGCTAACATTACTGTAAGCTCATCTCAGGTCACCACCTCAGGACGCCTCCAATCCGCCAGAGGACGCACGCAATCCAACACCATCCTTCTCACTGGTGCTGACCCAAACTCGCCTGGCTGAATAAAAAAATAAATACTTGCTCTGTCCCTTAAAATGAATCTCTGCAACATTTTAAGCCACATATGTACTCTGATTTTAAAACTTCAACAAGCAAACAGCCGTATATCAAGAATGAAAAAATAAAGTTTGTTATTTCAAGCTGCTTGTCAGCACAGGATCCTCAGCCTCCTTGCACTGTTGACATTCTGCCATCGTGGTCAGTCTTCCTTTGATTATATGAGGCCTGAAGTCATCACAGCCTTCATTCCTGCTTTGACCACAGTGTTCCTGTCCTCTTCCTGGGGTTTTCCGTCTCTGCTGCAGTACTTTCATTGCACACTGTCAAAGAAAAACAGACTAAGTTTGTATTAAGTAAATGCAAAATTCTTTACCATCACAGAAGTGATTACCAATGTTTGAGATTCCATCAAAATCATCAAATGATGATTTGACAATTAATTTCCACATAAATAATTGCGATTAACACTTTGTCTTTTTGTCCCAAATTGGCTGACTGGCTATCTCACTTCCTAACTGCCAATACTCAGTATCTCCATCTGACGACGGAAACTGCTTGAGCTCAAATAAACAAACATTTTTCAGTGCTGTCTTTTAAAACAACTTAGAAAAGGATGGTTTTCATACACTGATCAGGCATAACATTATGACCACCTCCTTGTTTCTACACCTATTGTCCATTTTATCAGCTCCACTTACTATATAGGTGCACTTTGTAGTTCTACAGTTACAGACTGTAGTCCATCTGTTTTTCTGCATACTTTTTTAGCCCCCTTTTACCCTGTTCTTCAGTGGTCAGGACCCCCACGGACCCTCACAGAGCAGGTACTATTTGGGTGGTGGATCATTCTCAGCACTGCAGTAACACTGACGTGGTGGTGTGTTAGTGTGTGTTGCGCTTGTCTGAGTGGATCAGACACAGCAGTGCTGCTGGAGTTTTTAAACACTGTGTCCACTCACTCTCCACTCTATTAGACATTCTTACCTTGTCAGTCCACCTTGTAGATGTAAAGTCAGAGACGATAGCTCATCTGCTGCTGCACAGTTTGCGTTCGTCATCCTCTAGTCCTTCATCAGTGGCCACAGGACCCTACCCACAGGACGCTGTTGGCTGGATATTTTTGGTTGGTGGACTATTCTCAGTCCAGCAGCGACACTGAGATGTGATCCACTCAGACATCTGACTGTCTGCAGTCTTTCTGTAATCACTAAATCATTAAACGGCCCATATTCTACATGTTTAGTTTTTATTTTTCTTCTGAAATTCACTTATTCGTGTGGTTTTATGTATCAAAAACATTCATTTTTCAGCCTCTCTTTATCCTTTTGAAATAAACAGGCTGTTTTTGTTTCTGTGCTTTTAAGCTTCATATAAATGAGCTCTGCTCTGATTGGCTGCACTGTATTGTGCTTCATTCGAAAAGCAGTCCAGGCTGAAACACTCTTATAACTTCAGTGTGAGTGGGCGAGGCTAAACTGCTGTAGGCTGAATAGGTGGATGTGTGTAAATGTGTAGCTTTTGACATCACAGAACAACAAATTCAAAAGGGCTGTTTTGCAGCTTAGTTTCCAATGACTGAATGGTCTGGGAGCGACTCTGACAGCGTTCAAACACCACATCCAGCTCTTATTTAAAAAGGTATAGCTCTCCATGATTTGGGCCCTTTAATAGAACACTTAACGGTGAGTGAACTTCTATTCACTGTGATTCTGACAAAACATCTAACATTTTTCTGATAGTCACAGCAACAGTTTCTCTACATTACCTCTTGTGTTGTGTCTCTTGGAACCTGTGGAAGCTGCTCCTCAGGCTGGAACTGGTCCTTCTCAGTCACCAGAGGGTTAGTTGTGACCCGAACATCTGTCTCAGCAATGTTCCAGAAACAGAAATAAAATTTAGAAATGTGGTTCCAACCATGATCTGATTTGCTGCATTAGACGCTGTTCTTGTGGTTGTAGTTGGTCTTTTTCATTTGCCATCTGTAAATATATAATTATGAGAATCAATGTGAAAGTTTCAGAGAAAGACCACAAATGAAAACATCAATTAATCTTGTTTTCATTCACAGTGAATGTTCATTTTTAAATACCCTGCATCTCCATATTAATGCTCCTTATAGCAGAAGGGTTTTTCCTGCTACTGTGGTTGTTTTCATTCTGGGCTAACATGGTCATCATTCATCACGTGAGAGACACAGACGTCTTCCAGAGCAGCATCAACACTGAAACATATAAATAAAGCATAACAGAGAACTTTTAGTTCTAGAACTACAAAAACAACAGAAAACCATTTAAAAATTAGCAAATCAACAAGAGAGAGAGCAAATGTCCTCACATATTACACAGACCAGCCACTTCATTAAGTCCACCTCCTTGTTTCTACACTCACTGTCCACTTTATCAGCTCCACTGACCGCATAGTTTCACTCTGTAGTTCTACAGTTACAGACTGTAGTCCATCTGTTTCTCTGATACTTTGTTACCCTGAGTGCAGAAACAAAGATGTGGACTCAATGAAGTGCCTGTCCAGTGTAGAGCTAAATGAGAAAGTTATATCATTCATACCAAAAACCTTTCCACTGTAATGAAATTCAGACATGAACACTTTCAGGACATCATGATAGATTTTCTGTCTCCTTTCAGGTTCATGTTTAGTTATTAGTTTCCTCTGTGATCCAAAAGAAAACCTCCCTTATCAGAATGGACACTGAATACTCCACAGTCTACGAGAGAAAACAGAAAACATGTTGACCACATCACACCACATTAACTAAAAACAAATAAATAAATACAACCAATTAAATATGAATATTACATTACCTTTTTCTGGATATATATATATTTCACACCAAACCCATCTTTGTCTTTATAAACAGCTGTAAGATTTGCTGCCTCTTCTTCTAGATTAAGTTCTTTTTCTCAGCTCCATGGCAGCCATTTTCCATGATGGCTCTACTCTTTCTAGAAAAATAGTAGAAAAAAGTTTTATTTTGATCTTTTCATATATTAAATATTTTAGTCTCTATTTAATTTGATTGACTGTTGCTAAAAGGAGTTCAAGACAATTTTATTTACATCTGAAGTCTCACACTTTTATTTTTGATCTAGCTGTGAGTTTCTGAATGTGCTCTGATAAGTGAATCACTAAATAAATTCACAGCATAAACAGTCCAGGGACAACTGTCCTATAAGGACAGCCTAGAGAAAAAGTGTTAGTGAAAGAACATGACTGATATCTGAGATGAGCTTCTATAAAGAGTATTGGATGGAAGGAAAGAAAAGGCATGATGACCAGAAGAGACTTAATGACGAGTAACTACAGACTAACTGGGCTTTAATAACCAGTACAAACTTACCTGGGATTATTTTAAGACATTCTAACGGTGTGATTAGGCCGCTGAAGTGATTTAGTGAGTTATATGTAGGTATGAATGCTGTTGTACGACAATGACATATTCTGGTATTTAAACCCTGTTAAAAAAAGAATGACTAAACTAGCGCATGTTCAGGAGTTTAAACCCCATAAACGACAAAGAATGACTGAACTAGCACAGGTCATAAACCAGCAGCCGCCCACACAAACACAAACACACACACACACACACACTTATATAAAAACACACACACTCTAATGTCTCTTCTTGTGTGCAGATTCCTGTGAGTTCACTCTGGATCCAAACACAGCGAACAGTTCTCTCTTTCTGTCTGATGGGAACAGAAAGGTGGTGAATCTGATATTTTCACAGTCGTATCCTGGTCATCCAGAGAGATTTGATTGGTATGATCAGGTTCTGTGTAGAGAGAGTCTGACTGGACGCTGTTACTGGGAGGCTGAGTGGAGCGGAGATGTTAATATAGCAGTAACATATAAATCAATCAGAAGGAAAGGAGACAGTGATGACTGTGTGTTTGGACGGAATGTAAAGTCCTGGATTCTGAGCTGCTCTAATAAGAGATACTCTGTCCAGCACAATAATAACAGAACTGATCTCTCTGCTCGTCCCTCCAGCTCTGAGACAGTAGGAGTGTATCTGGACTGTCCGGCCGGCTCTCTGTCCTTCTACAGAGTCTCTGCTGATAAACTGACCCATCTACACACTTTCAACACCACATTCACTGAACCACTCTATGCTGGGTTTTGGGTTCATTATTATGGCTCCTCAGTGTGTTTAAAATAAAATAACCTCCTGAGTGAAAATCACAAAGCACACACACAGACACACAAAGTAAACACACACACACACAGAACACACACACAGAACACACACACACACACAGAACACACACACAAAGTAAACACACACACACACAAAGTAAACACACACACACACATACACACAAACAGAGAACGCAGTGCCTTAAAAAAATAGAAAACTAGAATTTTCTCTCTTGCTCTCTCTCTCTCTGTTTCTGTCTGTCTGTCTCTCTCTATCTGTCTCTCTCTCTGTCTCTCTCTCTCTGTCTGTGTCTCTCTCTTATCTCTCTCTCTGTCTCTTTATCTGTCTCTCTCTCTCTCTTTGTGTCTCTCTCTGTCTCTCTTTCTCTGTCTGTGTCTCTGTCTCTCTCTGTCTGTCTTTCTCTCTCTGTCTCCCTCTCTCTCTCTCTCTCTCTCTCTCTTTGTATATCTCTCTCTGTCTCTCTATCTGTCTCTCTCTCTGTCTGTCTCTCTGTCTCTCTTTATCTTTCTCTTTATCTCTCTGTCGCTTTATCTCGGTCTCTCTCTCTCTCTGTCTCTCTCTCTCTCTATATCTCTGTCTATCCCTTTCTTTCTCTCTCTCTCTCTCTCTCTCTCTCTCTCTCTTCTGGGGGATTGTGGATGGATGGAGGGGATAGGGTGAGAATGGTGTGAGAGTGTTCTGTGAGAGTAACTTTTTGACTTATGTGTTATCCTTTCCTTGAGGTTTCGGGTTTTTCATATGAACAATACTCAAAACGGTTTATTGGTACTGTATTACGTACTGATTCGTGTGCTTGCTGGTTTTACGGCGGACCATGTGGGAGGGTGCAGGGATGGCGGAGGCTCACCTGAGCGGTGGCGTCCAGCCCCTCTTGCTCTGTCATGGGGTGCGCTGCGAATCGACGCCTGATTTAGCAGTGGAGGACGTGTTGCTGGTAGTAGGAGAGTTTGTAGGATGCGAAAACATTATCTCAGCATTGAGGATGAATAAGGCCGTGGTGGTGTTTCTGAAGGAGAAGACACTGGCTGACCGACTAGTTGAACACAGCATTACGGTAAGCGGAGAGTTTTATAGGGTTGTTCTGCTGTTTTCACCGACGGATAAGGTAACGATCTCAAATGTGCCCCTGTTTTTTCCCCAATGATGACATAGTGTGTGAACTTTCATAGTTTGGAAAAATAGCCAGTGATGTTAGGATGATTCCGTTGAATTGTAAAAGTTCAACTCTGCAGCATGTTTTGTCCTTTAGATGGTGGGTGCTGATGTTTTTGAATGAGCCTACTTTGGATAGTTAGGCCTTAGAGTTACCTGTGAGGATAGATCGTATATGTTATACGTGAGTACGGGAAGTATGCGATGCTTTGAGTGCGGGAATGTTGGTCATAAGAGCCTCTGTCCGCACAGAGTGCGAGTGTCTGAGGAAGCAGGGCCTGGCACTTGTGGAAGTGAAGGGAGGCAGGTGCCAGTAGATCAGAGTGTGGGGCCGGGTGAGGGTACTGAGGAGCGCCCAGCTGCAGTGGCCGGCGCTGATATAAGTGTTTTGGTTTCTGTCAGTGAAGTTGGAGTGCATAGGGTAGAAACTGTACATCAAGATGGGTCTCAGGCTTCTTTAGAGGCGCATGAAGGAGAGGGCAACAGTGATACTGCGCTATCTGCACATGTGGAAGCCATAAGCAGTGGTGAAGCAGCTGTTGGTGAGTCTGTGGCGAGTGTGGATATGCCAGTGCCACAGGAAGAGGAGGAGGAGGAGGGTGTGTTTTCTGACTTTTATGACCTGGCGTCTCAGGCTGGAGAGGATCAACAACTTTATTCAGTGCAAGAAATAAATGTGTTTTTAGATGAGACTTTTGGAAAGGTAGTGGAGATTGCCTGCTTTTTTCCTAGTGTAGAAAATTTGTAGCTTCCGTGGCGAAAATATATAGAACTGCTAAATTTGATGAACTGAGTAAGCAAAAGAGGTTCAGTCTGAAGAAAATCCTGAGGAAGTTGCCCCTGTTAAACGAAAGTGCAGTGACTGAGCCACTGAGGGTGCTTTCTTTCCTTTGGATAAGTTGAGAATCACCTCCTTAAATATTAATGGGGGCAGAGAGGGGAGCAGAAGGGCTATATTAGCTGAATTTGTTAAACATAAAAATGTTGATGTTTTATTTCTGCAAGAAACCCACAGTGATAGGGACAATGAGGTGGAGTGGGGTATGTGGTGGGATGGGAAGTACGCTCTCAGTCATGGGTCCAAAGTTAGTTCAGGGGTAGCGGTGTTCTTTTTTGGGTGGTTGGGGATAGCCCATCTGCATGTGAATGAGTTAGAGCAGGGACATTTGTTATTGGTACAGGTAGACTTTAGGGGAACAGGGTTCTTGTTTGTAAATGTATATGCCCCTAATCATGGTGGCGAGCGGGTGAGGTTGTTTGGACTGCATTGCAGCGATATAGTGACACTCTCTCAGTAGTGATTGGCGGGGACTGGAATTGCACTACAAATTTTACACTGGATAGGAATGGGAAAGAACCTCACCCAGGGTCTGCTGCAGAGCTGGGAGGGTTACTTAAAGAGTGTGGGTTTGTAGATCCTTGGAGAGAGCTCAAAACAGGCACAAGACAGTATACATGGGTTAAAGTTTCTGAGAAGAGGGTGAGTGCAGCTGGACTAGATTGTTTTTATATAGCTAAGGGCTTTAAATGCTTTTATGGGTCCCAGTGGCTTCTCAGACCACCATGCAGTTGTGCTTGATGTACTACTGGCTAGAACGACCAAATCTAGATCTTATTGGTGCTTTAATGTGAAGCTGATTCAGGATGAAATGTTCTGTGGGAATTTTAGTTTTTCTTTTTTCATTTTTTGGGAGGGGTGGAGGATGAGAAAAGCAGACTTTTACAATGTGGCCTTATTGTGGGAGGTGGGGAAAACACAAATAAATTCCTTCTGTCAGCAGTATTCTGCGCATAATGCATTTGTGGTGAAGAGTTCGGTTTGGGGGCTTGAGAGAGAGATAAGTCTGATTGAAGATGAGTTGGTTAAAAAGTATGATGCTGGAATTAGTACCAACTGCCTTCTTCTTCAACTTAGAGCAGAAGGGGACACACAAAAATCCTATGCAGTTTCTCCAACACCCTGAAGGACACTTGACCTCAGTGCCTGCTGAGATGAGGAAGATTGCAGTGGATTTTTATACAGATCTTTACTTTTAAGATGAACTTCTGGAGGGGCTACCAAAATTTGGGACACCACATGTTGAAGCAATGGACTCAGACATTCAATTTCATGAATTGACTTCTGCTGTCCAACAACTCACCACTGGACGTTCACCAGGCATTGACGGACTGCCTGCTGAATTTTACAAGAGCTTTTGGAACTGTGGCCCTACTATGCACAGACTATAAAATACTATCTAAATGTCTTTCCAACAGACTGAAGCAACACATACATTTGGTAGTGCATGCTAATCAGACTTACTGTGTACCCAGTCGCACCATAATGGATAATCTTTTCTTAGTTTGTGATGTGATTGATTTGTGTGGTGTGACTTCATGTGATTTGGGTTTGCTGTCCATAGACCAGGAAAAAGCATTTGATAGGGTTGACCATTCTTATCTTTTTAATACCATACAAAGTTTTGGGTTGGGGAGTGTCTTTTTATCCTGGGTTCAGCTTTTATATTCTGGTGCCTCAGTCACGCTTAAAGTTGGTGGTGTCTCAGTTGTCCCATTAAGATGCTAAGGGGAATTAGGCAGGATTGTCCTCTGTCTGGGCAGCTGTATAGTCTTGCAATTGAGCCTCTGTTATGCAGTTAGCTGATAGGGCTGTGTTGTCTGCATATGCAGATGATGTAACTGTCTTTATTAGAGTCAATGAGGATGTTCAGGCCTTGACTCAAACTCTGTGCATTTATGAGGGCACATCTTTTGTCCGTGTAAATTGGGATCAGTCTGGGAGTTTTATTTTGGGACAATGGCACGGTAGAGGGGCACCATTTTTCCAGCAGGCCTACGGTGGGGGTCGCAGGGTTTGAAGTATCTTGGTGTATTTCTAGGAACAGCGGCGTATCAGGATAAGAATTGGGAGGGAGTAGTGGAGAAGGTCTGTGCCAAGTTGTCTCAATGGGCTTGGGTCCTGCCTCAGCTGTCCTACAGGGGAAGGGTCTTGGTGGCCAACAACTTGATTGCCTCAATGCTGTGGCACAGGTTCACTGTGCTGGAGCCACCTGACCTGCTGATCAAGGAGATCCAGAGAAAACTGCTGGATTTTTTCTGGACTGGCCAACACTGGACCCGTACTGCCAACCTATATCTGCCTGTGGATGAGGGAGGTCAGGGTCTGATCAATTTGTCCAGCCGGATAAGGACTTTCAGACTCCAAACGGCACAAAGACTCTTGTATGGCTAAGGGTTGGTGTGGGCTGCTACTGCCTGTGCTCTGCCGCGACGGGTGGAAGACTTGGGCTATGAGAGACATCTATTTGTGTTGCGGCTGAGAGAGATGGACCTGTCTGGGACCTCTGCTTTCCATCAGTCTGTGCTGAGGGCTTGGTCCTTGGCACTTAGGACTACCAGATCTGAGGTCCAGCTTTGTTCTCTTGTTGAAGAGGAACCTCTGTTCTACAATCCTTTGATTCCAGTCGCTGAGCTGACCTTCAGAAGTATCCGCCTGCGCTTTCAAGAAGGCAGGTATTATGAAACTAGGAGATCTGAGAGTTGGTGAGGACTGGAAATCAAGTTCTAAGTGCTGCAATTGTTTTTTTTTTGTCTGTTCAACTGCTGCAGAGAATCATAGGAGAAGTGATCTCAACACTGCCCACTTCTCTTAGGGAGGCCTTAGAGCACCACTCAGGTGACCAGGAGCCCTTCCTTTCTCTCCCTACTATGGCTGAAATAGGGGATTATCAGGAGGAGGAGGGAGCACTTCTCTCGGCTTTCAAGGAAGAATAAAATACAGGGGAGTGGGACGTTGGACCCTGACCTGATGCTGAGAGCTGCAGTACGGATTAGGCTCAGAATTGAATACGCTTATTTTAATATGACTCATAATCTGCCTGCCTTTCATCGAGTGTGGGGGCAGGCTTGGGTCTTATGTGAACTTGATGAGG